AAACAGGGCCCTACAGAGGAGGGCTTCAGAAATATCAGCCTTTCAAGGGTGGGGTTAGGAAAGCCAAGCTCACCTGGAACTGGAAGGGACATCAAAGGCAAGACAGAGATCTTCATCCTCTGTGTGAGCAGTAGAAAGCCAAACAAGGAGCTGTGTGCTCACTGCTCAGTGGAGAGAGTGATTTTGTGGCAGTGGACAGAGAGAAGACCAATGCCCCTAATGCCTTCTTTGCCTTTGTCTTCACCAACAAGTTCTTTCATCTTCTAATGCTTTTCAGAGCCCAATACAGGAAAGATAGGAAGCAACTGAACAAATTCAGCAGAAGCACCTGCCCTGCATGGAGAGGAATCAGGCCTTATTCAGCCTTGAGCAGGGATGGCTTCAGGGGAGGCCCAACAGCAGATGGCCAGGACCCAGCAAAGGGTTATCAAGAAGGCAGAGCCGCCTACTTCCCAGTGGGGTTTATGGGAGAATGAGATACAATGGGTGTAAACTGTAACTGGAGAAAATGTGGGATAGAAGGAAATACTACCCTGGGAACAGTCAAGAGCTGGAGCTGGTTGTCCATAGAGGTTGTGCAATTTCTGTCCTGGAAGATTTTTAAGACCTGATGGCTTAAAGCCCTGAGCAACCTGGTCTGACCTCAAAGCTGACTCTGCAGCTTGGATTAGATGTCCTCCCGTGGGTCCTTCCAGCTTGAATTGTTGTCTGTGATTCATTCCATGAATATTTTAAAACTACCTTGAGCTTCTAGCTAAATTTATTTCTGATCTATTTGTGTCCTTGAGTTCTTCTGCTGTCTTAGGCTTGTCCTTTGCCTAAAATAAATTTTATTCCGCAATGTATTAACTGAGAACAATAACATTTGCTCTCAACTTTTGTTAAGCAGAACAAGCCAGGCTCTTCTAATTCTGCGCACACCCCTCCTCCTCTCCCCGGAGTGACTGGAATAGAGTCCCTGCTCCTTTCTCATCCTAATATCCTCTCTATGCACCTGTTCTCATTTTAATTCATCTTCTGGCATGTAGGTGATTACAGCATTGCAAGTACTGCACTAATCCAAATACAAGGTCAATGAAAAAATGTTCATATCCTGCACTAGGCACTCTTACTACTGAAAATATTTTGCAGGACAACACAATTCCATTATTTTTTAACAACTGCATCCTGCCTGTACTAATACTGTTACTGTTTATAATTTCCTGATCCTGTTTTCTACATATGGAAATACATAAATGCAGTCATATGCAAAATTATTGTGCCATAGAAATTAATTTTAAGTTCTCCTACCATTAAAAAGGCTTTTGTGATATTTGCCATAAACATTTCTCTTACAAACAATTTTCATTTCTCTTAGTTGGGCCATTTTTCATTCAGAGGTTGTTAAGTTTTCTAGACCTAGGTGTCTCTCAAATATTTGTGCACAGAAATCTTGTCCTCTCTTAAATTACATCTATTGATTTTTTTTTCCTATGTTTTTCCCCAGCACCTTACCCATTTGGATGAGAATAAAAAAGATTTCTTTACAATAAAATGTTTTCATATAATTCTTAATTTTGTTTTTAGGATTCTGTAAAAGACCACTTAAATATTATTTAAATCCCAGACATCACATGTACATAAAAGGTGTGAAAGATAAGTATATTGATCACAGCATACTTTATTATGCTGGTATTGCAAGTACTTTTTTAGATACTAACTGTGATCTCAATTTGGTCAAGGAAAGCTGTGCTCCTGGGAAAACAGCCTTTACTTAAGCAGTAATTAAGAACAAGTATTTCCCAGTGATAGAGCAGGTTTCCCAAGTCATAGTTTCATCTTTTATTTCTCCCCAAATTCCTCCTTTGGGAAATTGTTTAAAGATAACCTAGAAGTGAATTCTCATAGTTTCTTAAGGAGAGCCCCTGTTTTATACTAGCAATTTGCCATGCAGGAGATAAGTGGGGATTTTGAGATAGCATTTTCTTGTTCATGGCTTACATGCTGCTTTTCACATGAATTGGTTAGAGAGCATTAAGACATCTGTAATTTACTAAATGTAACTTTGAGCTTGTGAGACTAGCACAGAATGCTGGGCCATGTGTAGAGTTCATTAGATAAATGTTTATGAATATACAAGGAGCTTTTAAGCACCAGTGCTTAAATTATTTCTATCTCCCTTCCAAGTGTAGTTACAGAGACTTCCTGTGTCTGGTGGTGGCGGCACGTAAGCCTCTTATAAAAAAGCGTGCACTGATTTCAGCACCATCCTGTTGATTCATGAGAGGGAATTTTCCAGCCTCAGTACTCCATCTCCTGCACAAAATAAAGATTTTCAGCTACTGGATAAACTTATTTTGAAACAGAAAATTGTTTATCTCTGTACTGGGTACAGGTGCCCAGGGGGGGCATGTGGGGATGGGAACTGTAGAGGTGACCTTTGTGAGGAGAGGCTGGGATTGCTCCATGCCAAACACAGTCTGTGCCAAGCAGAGATTGCCCTGTGACCCTGGAGATGTCCTGGTGGAGCAGGTACTTCTCTGTAAACTCTGGAGAGACCATGGTGCAGCCAACATCCATGCTACAGCCCCTGGCAGACATATCTCAAAGGACCTGTAGCCCATGGAGAGCCCACGCTGGAGCAGGTTTATACTGAAAGACTGAAATGCATGGAAAAGCCCAAAGCTGGAGTAGAGAAGTGTGAGGAGAAGAACAGAGCAGCAGACAGGAACTGTTATAGAACTGATTGCAGACCCCCATTCCTCATCCCCCTGCTGCCCAGTGGGGAGAAGGTAGAAAAGTTGGGGGTAAAGGGTTGAAGTTGAGCTTGGGAAGAGGGGGGGTAGCTGGTTAGCGATGCCCTTGTCTTTGTCTTAACCCACATGATTTTTCATGCTATATTTCCTCTCTCTTCTGTTGAGAAGGGTGATAGAGAAGCTGGGTGGGGATCTGACAGCCACACAAGGTCAAGCCAACACTCCATCCCTGACCCAGTTCTCTGCAACATCTTCATTCATGACTTGGACACAGGACTCAAAGGAACACTAAATGTGTTTGCTGATGACACTAAACTGGGAGGAGATGTTGACCCCCTTGGGGGCAGGGAGACCCTGTAGAGAGACCTCGACAAATGAGAGAGATGGTCAATCATCAACATATGAAGTTCAACATGATCAAGTGCTGGATTCTGCACTTTAGATGGGGCAACCCTGGGTGTGTGTATAGACCAAGGGAATGAGATGCTGGAAAGCAGTGCTATGGAAAGGGACCTCGGGGTCCAGGTTGATGTCAAGCTGAACATGAGCCAGAAGTGCCCTGGCAGCCAGGAGAGCCAACCCTGTCCTGGGGGCATCAGGCACAGCATCACCAGCTGGGCAAAGGAGGGGATTGTCCCACTCTGCTCTGCACTGCGACGGCCTCACCTTGAGAGCTGTGTGCAATTTTGGGCGCCACAATATAAGAAAGACATTAAACTATTAAAGAGCATCCAAAGGAGGCCCAAAGGAGGGCCATAAGGGTGGTGAAGGATCTGGAGGGGAAGCTGTATGTGGAGCAACCAAGCTCATTTGGTCTATTCAGCCTGGAGAAGAGACTGAGAGGAAACCTCACTGTTGTCTTCAACATCCTCATGAGGGGAAGCGGAGGGGCAGTGTGTTGGTTAAGGTGGTGATAACTGCAATTGTATTACTGCCAGGTGTCCCAATAGTGGGACACCTGGCATGATGTAAATGCTATGGAATAAGGGGTGGAATGTGCTGGGTTTAGCTGGAGTAGAATTAATTGTCTTCACAGTGACTGGCACAGACTGTTTTGGATTTATGCTGAGCACAGAGCTGGTAATAGATGTTGATAGAGATGTTTTTGTTCCGGCTGAGCAGGGCTCACACAGAGCCAAGGCCTCTTCTGATTTCCATACTGCCCTGCTGGTGAGGAGGGTGAGGGTTGTTGGGAGTCTGGGAGGAGATGCAGCCAGGACAGGTGACCCAAACTGCCCAAAGAGATATTCCAGACCATGTGACATAATGAGCAGTATATAAAGTAGGGGAAAGATGGACAAAAGGGAGGGATGTTTGGAGTGATGACTCTTGTCTTTCTAGTTAACCACTATGTATGATGAGGTCTAGATCTCCTAGAGAGCTAGGAGATGGCTGAACATCTGCCTGCCCATGGGAAGTGGTGAATGAATTCCCTGTTTAAATTTGTTTGTGTGTGTGGATTTTGCTTTCCCTTGTAAAGTGTCTCTATCTCAACCTGTGAGTTTTCTAGCTTTTACCCTTTTGATTCTCTCCCATGTCCCACTGGTGGGGGACTGAGCGGGTACCTCTTCACTCTCATGACCACTGACGGGATTCAAGGAAATGGCCTGAAGCTGAGTCAGGAGAGGTTTAGACTCAGTATTGGGAAAATATTTTCACCAGAAGTGAACTAAGCAGTGGAACAGGCTCCCCAGGGAAGTGGTCACAGCACCAGCCTGACAGAGTTCAAGAAGTGTTTGGACAATGCTCTCAGGCACATGGTGTGACTCTTGGGGTGTCCTGTGTAGGGCCAGGGGTTGGACTGGATGCTCCTGATGGGTCCCTTCCAGATCAGTATATTCTATGATTCTACAAAACTGTTCTGAGTAAGCTAGTGTTCTCAGAGTAATTTCAGCCTTACTTTTCCATCTCAATCTTCAACAGGCTTATTATTAAGTTGAAAATTACTTTCCATTTCCATTACTATTTGATTAAATTCTATTAGAATTTTTGTCATGAAACAGAAACAGGAGAAGCAAATTTCACAGCACTGATCTATCAGAATATTGGCTCATTTTTAATATGATGATTTGTTCCCTGGCAAAATTAAGGTTCTGTATTATTTATACTTCAGTTTCTATCAGGATTTGTTATTCCAGGAGTTGCACATTTCTTCTTTTTTTAACGTTTTTTTTATTTTTAAAAAGAGATGTCAATGACCTATAATTAGAATGGTACTAAAGATTCACACATTGCTAATTCCAGCAGGGCTGCTGAGAAGATAACGTCACTTCTGTGCACAGGCACAGCACCAGCCCTCTGCAGATCTTAAGAGACTTGAGAGGCAGCACAAGACTCTTCCCCTGTCTGTGTCATACTTGTGTCTGATATCTTGCATGGACATCTGGGAGAGCTAAAAGAAAAGAATTCCCATCTTCCTTTAGGTTTTGTAGAACACCCACTGGACTTCCTGCTTAAATGCAAAGGACAATATATCCTTTACTTTCACACATCTGAACTGAGTTACAAACAACAGCAAAATAAAGACAGAAAAGAAAAAATATTTGACTTGTGTCAACATTCTTATTCTTTTTGGAAGAATGTTGTCCAGTTTAATCCTCATGAAAGTGGAAAAAAATAACAGTAGTGGATTAAAGCCAAAGTTTAAGAAAATACATTTAAATATATCTTTTTACTTAAAAATGAGTTTCCTCATCATTCAAAGACCTAAGAGTTAAGCTATGTTACATACACCTCAGGTACAAATTGAAAAAAGGTTCAATAAATCAGACTATATAAAAACCAAGAGACTTTTTCCCCCAGAAAAATGTATTTGTGTTTTATCTGATCATATAAAAACCATTAAATTTAAAAAAAAGAAGTGTATATATTTTTTCAAGTGTTAATGGTTTCACCATTTATCATAACTACATTCTGCAGTCCTGTAACACCAGGGCACATTACCCTTATCTGTGTAGCACAGTGAGCACAATCTTTACACTGAGGTCACTCTCATCACCACTTCCCCAGAGCAGTTATCCTCTGATGAATCCTCCTGAGGTCTCATGCGGTTGAACAGGTGTAACAACACATAGCCACACTGAAATCTCGGTGAGGTTAACTGTGTGGGATGAACCAAACTTCTGTTTCTAAATGCCGTCAGTGGCAGCCACAATGTCCTCCCTGCTGAGGATTCTCCTCGATTGCTCTCTTCTATGTCCGTGGCTTTATCATAATTTAACACATCCCAGTGTAGATTCACAGCTCTCCAGCGCTTAAACACTCGATAAACAGATGCACCTTCATGGACTATCAGTCCTGAAAGTAAGAGGGAAAAAAGAGCACTTATACAAAATGTCAATGGATACCATTTTGAGAGCAAATAGAGATTTAACACATTTTAACGACTCTGGCAATTTCCAGATGCAATTAAATTACTCATAACATTAATAATTCAAACAAACTGTACATATGCAATTTAACTGGTTATTCATTTGTTTGGGAGGTGGGAGCATGCAGAGGAAATAAAGCTGTTCTGAATGAAAGCTCAGCATAACGAATAATCTGAGCATGCCAAACTAAATGAATTATTCAGATTTAAGTAAACCAATGACAAACTGGCAGATTTGGATATTGACTGTTTATTCTAGTGCTGCCCTTGTTCATGGTAAGTACTATTTATTTACTGAGATTTGTACTGGTTTAAATAGACCTTTAAGTAGGTTACACTTTCTCCAATGAACAGGATAGTCCTAAATTTGTTTAAGAGTGTTTTGTAGAATTCAGTACAGATATTGACAAATTTAACTGCTTTCATAGTCCCAGTTCAACTTAGGAGCACAGAAGATTTATGAAACAGCTGTAAATATAATGACTTTCCTGTCTTGTTCTTTAGAACAAGAATAAATTAAATGTTATTATTAACTACAATGAGCATGGTAAGGATGATAAACATTCTTCTTTCTCTTCAGTATTCAATAGAAAAAAGTTGCAAATTATCTTTTCATTGAGACCCAAAAATCTTTTAAAAGGTCCTTCAAGGAAAATACAGAATTTATGGAGTCCTCAAGAGACCAATCTGCTTATGAATTTCCATGTAGCTAATATTTATGCCTATTGTATGCGTTCAAGCAACTTATTTAAAGAAATGAAGCTTCTAACTTTTTGCATGCATGTATATGTTTATACTCACATGCTTTATATGTGAGTATTTCAAATATGGATCTACTGGGGAGACACATGGGGCTTCTGCCTTCCTACTAGTTTTTTCCTCAGCCAGCCTAGTTAAGGACCTGAGCAACACCACCTGTTCTCTCTGGCTCCCTGCTTTGGGAAGAAAGCAATCTACCTAGCCAAAAACATTTATAAATCTTTTGTCCAGTGTGCTCCTTGCCTAAAATTTTCCTATGGAACACATCTGTAATATGATCTGTGGTGTCCTTTAGCCAAAGAGATTGTAGATCACCTGTTTCTGCACAAGAAAATTGTGATTTAAGTGTCTGAGGTCCTTTTGCACAATTAACTGATACTAGAAAGGAGATGCTCACAGAAAGATGACACAAGCTGAAAGGGTGGTAAAAATATTTACATGAACAGCAAACCTCACATTCAAGTGCAATGATTTGCAGATAGCAACGCCTACTCTAACATATTTTTAAAGATCATTACACTGAAAGATGGAGAAACACAAAGATTTCTTTCAGAAGGACATGATAGTGAATGCAGCATCTCTGTAAGGCTTTCATTATTGAAGCATCCAGTACAGAAAAAGTAGCACAAAACAAACTTATTTAAATAGGAAATATTCTAAATGTATTTCGTAACAGCAAAGCATTTTAGTGGAAATTTTTTCTTGATTGCAAGATTTCTATTTTTATCTTCTCAGACATAGATAAAGTAAGCTGTCTTTAAAATTTATCATAATAATTTAGTCAATACATAAATGTACCTTCAAGACTGGCTTGACTGTACAAAAAAGAATAAATGTATTTGATCCCGTATAGAATCTACAAACCAAATTAGCCATGGTTTTACTGCTGTGACAAAGATTAATCCTTTTGTGTTCTTTCAGATCTCCTATAAAGTTGATAAAGGAGATGATCATAATCTTCCTCAACCTGTTCCTGGAACACAGCATCATTTGGTCCAACTTCTCTCAAGTCTGTGATTAAAGAACCTACTAAAAGTTAAAAGAACCTATTTACTCCAAAGTAAAGATACATGTCTGCATTCCACTAGAACCTGAACAACATATTTCAGAATAGAGAAGGAAGTATTTGAGAAAGGATCATTGAGATGCATGAAGTACATTTAAACAGTCAAAATATCGTTCCAAAATTACAACAGAAGAAGTTGTAGGATGACTTCTTTCCGGGAGCTCTTTTTTACTATCTTGGGGGTTTCAGGATTTATTGAAATCATGTTTTCTAAGTTTTTAAACACTGGCAAGGATAAGAAATTTCCTTTATAGTGTAAACTGTCAGTCACCTATACTTTAAAAGAGCTACTAAACAAAGGATCAAATATTGCAAGCCTTGGCATAAAGTTATCAGATTTGGCAGTGTTGAAGGAGAAAAGCAGCACTTTCATAATTCCTTTCGTAAAAAGTTTTAGCTCCCTTCTTGATAGAGCTATATATTGAAAAATACCTATGCAGATGAGGCAAAAGAACTGGGGAGAGTTGGCGTGTGAAGTTCTTGGCACCAACAGTTCTAAGACCACAAACAACAGGAACTTCAGGTACGTTTTAAATGCTAGAGATTTTCCAGTTCCAGAGGAGTTCTGAATATAAGTTCAAAATATAAGTATTTAGTCACTGAAGTGGAGCTGTAAGAAAATGGCAAATAATTGCCTTTCTCTTAAGGATCTCACAGCAATGAAGGTAGCTATGCAAGAGAAAACAAGAACAAATCCCTGAAGAATACTGATTTCTTCCAAACACCATGATTTCAACAGCACAGAGGACACAGCTGAACACTTGTAGGGGAAAAATATTTGCTCAGATGATCCCAAGAAATAGTACAATTCACTGCTGTTAGCTGTTCAGATGTTCCATCCAATTAATATCTACAAGGAACAGAGTTTTTAGATTATGGACCTATCTAAATGTCCTATGGTCCTAAGAACCTACCTTTAGTTTTTTTCTCTAAGATGGAGGGATTGCAGTGGGATCCAGCTAATAGGATTATGAAGAATCTTAATTTTATTTTCTTTTTTGATATTTTTGCCAAATACTATTCTATTCTTTCATTGCCTTCAAAGGTTTTCTTAACCTGACTCACAAGATACTTGAATTTTTTTACTACTGAATGTCTTTACAAGCAGTCAACTTGTCTTATTCATATTTGGTGGTATTAGGTTACAACATTATCTTATTTATCATACTAATCTTACATATAAACATTTAGTAATGGTCCTCCCAGTAATATCACAAGATTTTATCCAGGGAAAAAAGATCCTTTTCAGAAACAGATTTTACCTCTGGACAAAATGTCATGTCTTAAAAATATTCTAGAGCCCACAGATATTAAAAAAAAAGAAATCAATTGCTCATAGCATTAAACATATCCATGCTAAAATAGTAATAATAAAAAATAGAATTCTTTTTAATCTATTTAGAATTAGATCCACTGTGGGAGAAAAAAAGACTTTCTGAGTGAAGACTATATATAAAGTGCAGCTAGAGGTATTCATTGTAAGTAACTTTAGCCTGTTCCTTTTTACAACCAAAGAGTCACAGGAATGTTGCAAGGGATCAAGTTCCTTAGCAGGGAAGAAAGAGGCTTTCAGAGGGCAATCCACACTTTGCACTGGCTCCCATCTCCTCCTCCCTTGCCACAGCACTACTGGCACCAGTCATGTATGTAGTGCAATGTAACAACTACTCTTCACTGCTGGAAAAGGAGCAGCAATATTGTTCTGGGATTGCAAGTCAGCTGTTATTATCTGTGAGAGGTTTTGCTCATGTTAGAACCATTTATGATAATTAGTTATAACTATTTTCAAGTGGGAAAAAACCCAATTCTACTACTTTTCTGTTATGCAAAATAATTGCTAGGTTTAGAATGTAGAATGGCAAAGGCTTGATATACTGTCCTTCAGTGGGTAAATAAGGGATTTATATTATTCATTCCTTTTATGAACTCACTCCCTTTGGTAATCCCTACATGGATGGTCTGATCCTAGCACTATCACTGGAATAGCTCTGGGTTTCACAGGCTGTAGTTCTGATGATCAGGGTGTTCAAGGTTTGCTTTGGAAAACTTCAGCCAACAGGAAATTTGAAAGAGAGCAGCTTCACACTCAGCTTTGATGCAGAAAGGTACAAGGTAATGACTTGTAGGGTTAAAGCCAACATTGGTAAATAAAAACAATCCTGTTTGTCAGGAATAATTCTGTGAAAATTCAGAATAAGAGAAAGAGAACAGTGGATACCAATAAAACGTACACTAGAATGAACAGAACATGTTATTCTGCTGATTTATAATCTTCAGAGTTTTTCTTTTGTTGAAATGTAAAAACAAAGAAGTAAAATACAAGTTAGGTGTAATTTATTTAATAAGAAAGTGACTGGTGTGCTACATGTGATACAAAAGTCAATCATTGAGTAAATGAATTGTTATGTGCACATTTTCAAATATGTCAGTACCTTTTGGCAAACTGCTTTTAAAAATTATAGCAAAACATTTCAAAAAATGCTTCACACTTTCTGTGTGAAGATATCTACACTTCACAAACAACCAAAAAGTATTTGTACTGTTTCTGCAAAGGTGTAGGGAGGTATAACTGAAAGCAGGTGAAATAAATCTTGGTCATACCACCAGCATTATCTTGAAATATGTGATGCACAGGAAAACCTGTATGTCTGCATAAATTTTTCATTGAAATAAAGAGAGATTACAGTGGGAGTAGAGGTATTCGCTCACTGTAAATCCTGTTCAAAACTAGGACAATGCCATGGATGACTAAACACAAATGAAAGGAGAGGAGATCCTGCGACCTGTAGCTGGTTGGAAGCATTACAAGCTTCATGATATAAGAGATTATACATAATAATGGTAAAATAACTTAATGCCTTGAGAAGTCATCAGCATAATGGAAAGTATTTTGGGTTGTAAAAACAATTTATAAGTGATACTTACATATATCTATTAGGGAATTTTATTTGAAAATTGTAAATTAAATTATCAATCCAAACCCCTCACTTTATCGTGAAAGAAAAAGATGAAATTGAGTAAGGTTGACTATATTAATGAATACCTTTAAGAGTTACAAGAAGTCCTGATCTTACAAGCTAACAGAATGCAAATTACTTGAAATTATATGCAGAATAAGTGCATCTGAATTAATCAGAATTATCAAAATTCATCAATTACAGAACCTCCTTTATACAGATTTTTGAATTTCCAGATATAGTCTAGTAAATTCCTAAGTCATATATGCAGTGAATGTTGTAACTACAATGCAGCGTCCAAATATATTTAATTGTAGTCACTTTTTCATTTAAATTTTCATGTATTATTATGACAGTTCTATAAAATATGCATTTATGAAGTGACAGGCAAGTCAGTTTATCTGTGTGTTTGCTTTGCTCCTGCAGGGTGTAGTTGAGCCAGAAGCTCCATGTGAGGTACACATTTGCTCAGCAGCTTCCACTTCAGCGGTGGCTTGAGCCTAGCTGGCTTGAAAGGCAGCTAAAGGATGCACCAGTCCATGAAAGGTCATCTTCCAAATATTTACTTCTATGGATAAATACAGTAATATTTCTGATCACCCACAGACATTCTTGGGTGATTTTGACTTTAATCTGGTTTAGGTGTTTTAACAGTAAAAACAAATGGGAAAAATGAAAATAATTTGAAGTAACTGGTTATTTCAACTAGCTGATGCATTCCGAAGTATTTTTTTGTACTGGGGAAAAAACCCAAACAAACCAGAATTCCATATGAATTAAATTTCTAGAATGCCTGAAGTACATTTTATCTTCCTTTGGTGTATTTTTAAACAAAAGCAAAGCCCTCAGTATTGAGGGTTAAGCTGTAAGAGGTGATGTTCAGAAATCAGCATCTAAGAGGACATGTAGCTGAGTCATTTAAAAGATGTGCACTTGTCCAAAGTATGAGATTCTGCTCACTTTTCTGTCTGAGCTTTGGGTTCACAGAAGAAAGCCTGTGATACAAAATATTCCAGAGCAGGCATCTCTAACAAAAATTACAAAATGAACAGAACTGCTGATGTAGCTGAAATATAAATACTTTTACAGTAATGGGATGGTTTCAATAAAAGATGATGTGGCTTTACAGTTGAAGCAAACCCTTGATATTAGGAATCAACTCTGTTTCTTTGTTCCTTACAAAGCAGAATTCAGCACTGTTCTAATTCCCATATGTAAGATTCAGATAACATTTATCTCTCTTAAACATCAATGCAAACATCAGATGGCATTTGACTTCTGGATTTTCTTGCAATTAAAATTCTGTGAATGTGGTTTAATGTAAATAATTATTACTAAATATGCAAATTTGTTTCTCTAAATTGTATAATTATGTAATATTTAGTGTAAATTTTCTCTCCAAATAATCATAAATATTCTATCAAATCAGGTTGTTTTACCAAATACTAAAAGGGATTTCTATTTAAATATTGACAGGTCCACTGTATTTTCAGAAATTTCAAAAGTGGTCAATACAGTGTTGCAGTAAAATGTATTTTCTTTTACAAGATTTCAGTTAAGTGACTTGGGGCTTTTTAATAGTAAAGCAAGTTACTATAGCTATCATTGTTTGAGTGTTTCATAATTGTTTATGATGTGTAAAGGACTCTTGCCTGCCTTCTCTGTTTGCCTCCATTTGTAGCACAGTGACCTGTATAAATCTGTGCAACCTAATTTTCGGTGTGCAGTTTGATGACATCTTCAAGGACTTCTTCTGTGCTTCATGATGGTACAATCCAATTCAAACTGGCATCAGATGACAGTGTGTAATTTTACTAATTATTTTAATAATGTCTTTCATATTTTCATCTGTTTAACTCCCTGAACTTTGCTAGTCATTTTATCAAGAAATTTAAACTGATCCTGTTCTCACCACTAAGATTTTGTGAATTCACTCATGAATCTGAGAGTAAAGCTTCGATGATTCTTTTCTCTCTGCAATATTTGCAACACTGTAAAAAGCAGCACTTGCCAAAGGTATCAGCTGAGAATAAATCTGCAAAGAACTGGAGTGATCAATTAGAGTGACCAATTAGAAAAATAGAAATAGTCACAGTCTTAAACCACAGTCTGTGCTGTTTAAAGATTTGAGCTTACCTATGCATACTAGATCCATAAAACCATACATTCCATAGCAGATTTGAAAAAGGATGTCCTTTCTTTGCCATACTGCATAAGGGCTGAAGGCTGACCATAGAAGCCAAGTCACACTTGCTACTAAGAACAGAGATCCTAGGATTACAGCAACCATCTGCACTTTCTCAACCAGTGTTATAGTAATGCTTTGCCACTAAAAGAGAAACAAAGTTGTATAAGATAAAAAAGTTATTGTCCATGGTTGCACATTCAACTCCATTTTTTTCCTGAAATCAGAAATTATTTTAATATTTACACATATCTTCATAGATATTTACTAATATTCTTGATACTGACATTTTATATATTTTTTTTTCTATTTCACTTTTAAAGTGAAGCTAATAGGTGCTTCCCCATTTCCCTCAGTGTCCCTATCAATATGATCTAGCTGTGAACTTCTGAAGAGTTAATAGTTTTACTTATGTTTTGAGTATGTAGGCAAAAAAAATATTAAGTCTTAGGAATGGAACTCTGTCTTTCATCTTTGGATGGCAATGAACAGAATAATAAAGGAAGAAGATGTTTTCAAATATGTGTTATGTTAGTGTGGCAGGTTTCCTTTCCATCCCTCCCTCCTGAAGTGTGAAGCCATTTTGCACTTTCAGGCTTCGCATCAAAGAAGTTCCAGACATACCAAGGGAGTTGTCTTTCTCTGCATAAACCAGTGTTAACAGCACAAAAAGACTCCTGCAACCTAGTGTGGAAGCAACATGAAAACTCAGGAGGAGCCCTGAATATAGATAGCACAAACATTTCTTTTCAGTGCACCCCAATTATGTCCATCTTTCCAGGGAAGGCTGTGTGTCTTCCATATGTGACAAGACTCTGGTTTACGGAGCCCTGAATATAGATAGCACAAACATTTCTTTTCAGTGCACCCCAATTATGTCCATCTTTCCAGGGAACGCTGTATCTTCCATATGTGACATGACTCTGGTTTACAGTGTTACAAGATTTAGATATAAAAGAGTGAGCGTACTGACGTCTGTCAAGATAAGAGAAATACAATTCTGTTATAAGAGTCACAAAAACAAATCACAGTATAAGGAACTAATTGTTCTAGATTACCCTTAACATATATGGCTTTTCTTGGACAATATTATGTAAATTACTTTGGTAGATTCCCCACTCCAGCCCCATCACTCCCTCCAGGGCTGGTGTGAATATTCTGTAGACAGCCATCTTTCCTGTTCCTAATTTTGGATGTACCTGCCCCCTATTGCAATAAGGGTTTTCTTGCCTCTTTTCCCATCTGGCAATAATTTTTTCTTTTTCCAATTACTTTACTAAAGACTTCTCTTTTTTACAGCTCTTGGGTACCCAGTACCATATAATCATAGCTTAAAGTAATAATTCAGGTTGCAAGGGGCTGTGGGAGCCCTCTAGTTCAACCTCCTGCTCAAAACATGGTAACGGGATGAGATCAGACCAGGTTGCTCTGGGGTTTATTCTGTAATACCCTGAAAACTTCCAGGTATGGAGGCTGTTCATCCTCTCTGTGCAACCCACTCCATTTCTTGACTGTACTCGGGTTGAAAAAAGCTTTTCTTCAAACACATTTTTTCTTATATTCATTCTGATGCTCTTTCGTCCCACTTACAATCTTCCTCCCATCAAGTACCACCATGAAGAGCCTGGGCGAGCAATTGGTCCTCTCTCCCTTTCATCTCTTTCAGCTTTTCCTATTAACTTTTCTACTGTAGCCTAATATGCACAATTGGTGCTGCATTCCTTCTCTTCTTGCAAACTTCTGAATATAACCGTACAAAGAGATAGATATATAACAATTTGTAAATTGTCTGTCTTGAAATACTATCCTTTTATAATGAACTCATGAAATGCATACGAGCTTTTTCATGGAACTTGAAGGTTTGGAATGGGGCTATTCATGCTAAATACTACCTTTTTATGTCAAACAACAATGGATACCAATTTCCTTTGTTAAGTGTCTTTATAAAGGTCAAAGAAGGTCATTAACAAGCGATGCATGACAGAATGGTGTGAGCTTTCCATGACTCAGTATACAGGATTGGAAGTTCAGGACTGAAATTCATTGAACATTCATTAGACTCCATAGGGTAATGTTAAACAAAATTATTTTTCATTTCTCAGCTGAAGCTACATAGTGTGACTTGGCAGAAAACTGTCAAAATGCTGCTGGTTATGTATGTCTATCGTCTTTCTTTATCAGTGTGAGACAGAACTGTATTAAATTTCTTTGGAATGCCTGAAATCAAAGTCCATTTACATGAAGTAAAGCTTTAACTGTCACAAAGTATCACACTGTCAAATTCACAGAAGAAATGGCAATAAACTGAAAATACTTATATAAATGAAATAAACAGCAGATCTGTCACAGTGCGATTTCAGTAATGCAGAAGTTCGTAAACTCACTTCAGTTTATTTTGATTTTCTTTTTTTTTTTATAAACTTAGATTGCTCATAGTTAGTCTTCAAAAAGAGTAATGAACAAAAGAAAAAGAAATCCAAACATTTGGGATAAATAATGTAGCATGCAGTCTGGACAGCTTATCCCCTGTTCTGGTGTTGCCTGAAAACCAGTATCTCTTCCTCAGTGTCAACCACTCCTATTACCCATGTCACGAGGGCTTTTTGTTGGCTTGTTGGATTTTCACAATTCTTTATTCTAGAAAAACCTGACCTTGAAAAGTTCTAAGAAACATAGATATGATCCTCACCACTTCCTAGCCTCTTCTAAAGAATGTATTCTCATTATTTCACTCTTCTCTTGATCTGTCAGGAATGCAAGCAATTGAATCACTCAACCTCAATAAAGTCAGTAATTCCAAAGATTCAGCATATTAGCATGCTATCAAATTACTACAATTACTGAGAAAAAACCACAAGCATTCCAGAGGTTGTTGTTCCTAACTCTTCTGCCTTTAAAAATCAAAGAACAGTTCCAAGAAAACCCCCCAAACCAACAAACCAAAAACTCCATTAAAATAATAAAAAACAAGAACACCAAAATAGGATTGGATGTTTTCTTCTATTACCCAACTACTTTAACCTTTGTGGTATTCCCTGTCTTTGTTCTATGAAAGAAATTTCAGTCCTCCACCTTTTTCAGTATGAAGGTCAGCAATAATCAAGAAATTAAAAAATTTTAAGAAATTTTCCTCCTAATTACTGTAATCTGTAAGTTATGCTAATTGATGATATTCCATAGTAGATGGGTGAGGAAGGACTGCGTGTGTAAGACGAAAGACATTTTAGTGGACTAGAAAATTTACGTGAAACCAATAATTTACCTCCTTGTGGTCGGCAGTCTGCCATATACATCCAGCACCCCAGGAGTGATGGGGTGGGATGGATTTCTGTTCAGCTCTAACATGTGATGAGCTTGGGGACCTCATCTTCTGTCTATGTTAGTCCATAGTGCTAATGGCAAGAAGACTGTGGATGTTCCTTATGGTTAACTTACCCCAACTGAAATTTCCTTCTCCTTGCCCCTTTTCAAAATGTTTGGATTTGTAACAGTCTGAGATTGTCTCTTGGGAAATGAGTGTCTAGATTTTTTTCCCCATAAATTTGACTGAGTTTGAGTAGAAATTATAAAAAAGTGATCAGATGTTACTGGGACATGTATATTTCTCACATAATGAAGGTGGTATTCTGTAGCTATGATGTTATTCACATGTTGAGAGGCTTGGACTGTTCAGTCCTTTCTCAAACATGGCCAGCATTAGCCATTGCACAACGAGATGAACTGCACAGGACTCTATTGTTTGGTTGGTTTGCATTTCATTACAAGGCTTGTGAGGAGGAACTGGAGTTGTGGTCACACCATTTGTTTGTGCCTGAAGTCTCACTCAGAGCATGGCTAGCACATGTGGCAATACAACTGAAAGAAACCCAGGAAAAGAAAGCTCCTTCTGAGAGCAAGATTCTTATTAAAACATCAAAGTCAGTTAAACTTTCTTTGAGTTCTCACAGTCATTTTCCTTATTGTATTCATTGTTATGTTATAATCACTTCACCTTTTAATGTCAAATTAATGGCTTATGAGGTCACAAAAGAATAAAAATTATTCAGTGATAGTATGTTGAGAAATTGCATTCAGAATATAACAGACTGAATTATTTAACATTGTAAATTGAATGATCACATTATTAGTGTGCCATGATTTAAATCCATTATTTCCACTAGTGTTTTTCTTATTTTCTTCATATAACTTGCTTCTAAAATTTTAATCATTCATGATTATACATAATATTATGACTTTCTAATTTGTTTTTGCTATTTGCCTTCATATAACTTGCTTCTAAAATTTTAATCATTCTTGATTATACATGACTTTCTAATTTGTTTTTGCTATTTGTTGACTATGCATTCCACAGTCAGTAACAGTTATTTTAGCTAAATATTTTGCCAAGTTAGGAAAGATTTAGACAGTATTTTTGTGTCAGCTTCTGTAAAGTAGATGACCCTAAAAAAAAATATTATGAGAAATATTGTCATTTTTGCTCATAACTAGAAATGGAAAGAAAATGTGAAATATTTTGTATCTTGATAGCTATAATAATCCTGTAGGTTTCAGATATAATAATTAAAAAAGCTTCATTTAATTTTCTATGAAAATCCCATTTCATATTCTTTTCCTTAATTTTTGTAGCATTACGATGTACCATGCCATATCTGTTGCCCATGAAAAAAAAAGCATTTTATTTTAATTTACAACGATGGCAATGAAAATGGTGTTTTAAGCAAAATATAATTAATGCTTCTGATTTTAATGTAATACTGTCTGCCCTTGAAAGTTTTTTAGACTTTTACTTCTACTGACACTTCATTATGTTTGGTTCTTTTAAATTTTTATTTACCACTGGTCTTCCCCTGATAAATCATTTGGGAGTATAATACATTAATGGTACTCTAGAGTTCAAATTCTGACCCCAGAAATATTGCTCCTCTTTTCTTCTGAGGTTTCTGTCAAACAAAAATACAAATATAAGGAAATAATTCCTTATTTTTGAGGTTGAGACTTTCAGAAGTTGAAGGAAATGTATTGCTTTGATGGAATAATTGTTAAAGAATAAAGTTAATACAGTTATGTGCATGTCCTTACTAACATAAAGGTGGATAAAATATTCAAAGGTATGTCATCTTTGAGATGAATCAATATTAACTTGG